AAAGAAAGGTTGTGAAGAGAGAAATGTATTCAAATAAATTCTTGGGTGCAGGCAGGGGTAAAAACCTAAGTGGAGGTGGCCGAGAACTGGGGAGTGAATTTAAATGATGCTGCAGGATTTTGGACATGTACTTGAGATTATGTTAAGCCTCTGTCTTAACACAAAAAAGCTACTTCCTGCTGTTAGATACTTTTTAACACAGCTACTCTTCACACCAGACAGTGTTATTTCAAACTCTGCTGCTGCCTTTCTAACTTCAACTTCAAACATCATTTTCAACCAAAAAGACACAAATTCAACAAATTATTCACCAATCTGGAATTTGGTGTGACAAAGTTCAGTTTAGATTGCAAGTTACTCTACACAAGATGGCGTTCCTGACACAACCAGGGACGTAACAGTGCAGCGTGAATTATTTTAAATCAATACAAATGCGTCACAATTCACATCGGCTGAAATTTAAAAAAATGCATCCGGCATCAGGGCAAAAGAAGAGGGCTGCGTTATCTCAAAAAGTCAGTGGTCGTACCGTGAGACTGCACACTCTAGCACAGTAGGTGGCGGTATTCACCTAAAAGACCTGCTATGAAAACTTCAGGTCATAGCCTAAGTGACATTCAGGTGTTCGAACAGAACGTGGGAAGAATTTCTTCCACAGACACAAACAGTGTTTTACAGTGTTTCTATAAAGAAAGGAACTCTTTTAGCTCATTTTTTTATATTTAACAAGTTATACTTTTAAAGAGAGGAGATAAATGGTGATGTGCAGTGTTTCTGTAAAGAAATGTGTGTTTTGTGTAGTCTGTTATTTAAGACCATTTCAATTGCTAATGGTATTTTGTATAGTTCTTACAAACAAAGGATCATCGTATTTGGAACCATGGAACTGTTCTCACTGCTGGACAGCAGCTCATGGATCAGTACTGTGACCAGTGTTTGTGGGGCGTGTGGTCAGCAGGTGACACTCACTCCACTGGAGGGTTGATATCCTCGGCTTTGGTCTCAAAGAAGCGCAGCACCTCCTCACTCTGAGAAATCTGAGGAGGGAGTCGAACCAGCGCCTTTGGAGAGAAAGATGAAAAAGAGGCATTAATGACCATAGAAGTGAGGGACACAGTTGGACACATTTTTTTCAACTTCCTCTCAGTCATAGCCTAAAAATACCATGTCTTCGTGTATCCCATGGTCATGAAGCATCCACGCTGATAAAGAAGGTAAAACAATCGTATATATCCAGACTTCCTGCCGGCTTGGTTCTCACTGACCAATTCCAACAAGAGAGAGGATCATATGACTGATTCACCATCAAAATTTAATGACCTGGCCCACTTCCACAACAGACATATCTTATGTACAGTAATGGGCTGCTGGAGCATGAGCACCAGCCACTTTTCTTCTCATATCATGTACTGGAACCTGGGCTATGGACCAGAGCAGCTGGATGTGCTGTCTAACAAACCAACCAATAGCTGGAGAGAATCAGGTTTTCCCACAGAGATGGTCCTGAATGTGAGCAGTGTTAAAGTCCATGTTTAATCTGACATGAAAAGTTCTCTTTAAGTGTGGTTTGAGAAGTCAGCTGGGATTAAACCGTGTGGACTCCTGTTTCATGCTTCAACCATCTGACAGCACATAACACAGCTCTGTGGATGAATAGATAAATAAATACATTTAGGGTCGAGGTTCTGAAATTTTTCATGACGAAGCCCCACACCCCTCCACCCCCCAAAGCATTAGCTTCTGCTAAAAAAAATATGTAAAGAAACATCAACTTTTAGAATGTATTTTCTATTCACCATTAATTAATATCGCAACTCTGCAGGCTAACACAGGTGGCGCTGCCTCCCAGCCCCCTTAGGTGTCTTGAGGCCACTGTAGGGAGGCACAGCAGGGAAAATTGATTCCAGCTTCATGAACCACAGTGAGGAAACTGCACTGATTTGGGTTTTGTTTTGGTTTTTTTTGGTTGTTTTATTTATTTATTTTAAGATTTTAGTTTAGTGGAGATGTCTTTAATAACAGTAACAAATGTGCCGACGTGAGGACACAACGATGCCGATTTAAGTTTGGGAACCACTGCTTTAGAGGATGTGAATGCACTGTATAGACAGTGACCTCTGACCCCCACAGCCTGGAGGACATTCCCCTGGGTGAGTGGGAGAAATGCGGAGGTTAACAATAAGTCTGCTTACCCTGCAGTAGTCGTCGATGAAACGCAGCCGCTTCATGGCCACATCCCGCACATGACTCCTCCGGAACAGGATTTTGCCTGGAGTGAAAAAAATGTTGGAAATGTCAGAAATAACAAGACAGGAGCTGATTGTTGGAACAACCAACCAAAAAAAAAAATCAAAGTGTGGCCCACGGTGGTCATTCTCTAACACAGGGGTGTTTTTACTGGGGGGGCACATCACCAATACAGTTCTGGTTGAAGGGCTGGTTGTAAATGGAAGACTGTATCGATGTAACTGCTCTATAACATATTAAAAAACGTTTCTGCAATTGATTATTATTGTCTGATATCACAAATATTGTACATTACTCTGTGTAATTAAAAAACAAACCTTGATTTATCAGGTTAACAAACTCAGCAGCATGGACTTTATTTTTAGGCAATTAAATGCTTTTTAAGGCCCACGGGCCACACAAAATGACCTGCTGGGCTGCATTTGGCCCACGGGTGTTCTAAACAGACAGTTATTAGAGCTTAATATATATTTTTTTAAATTATTTTAGAACATTAGCAAGGGAGCAGAACTTCAGAATGTTTGATATCACTGCCTATCAGTAGATGGTGCTAATGTGTGGTGCTGCGATCCTGCTGACCTCTGTTTGTCACACGCTTTCATTATTGACAAACAGGATTTTTGCTCAGATGTCACCGTCTCCAGTCGCAGTTCCATTGCAATAACTGGTACCAGGCAGTAGGGGCAGCACCGATAACATGTGTTTCTATAATAGTAACTATGTTAGCATTAACAAGACTACCAGAAACTCCAACCTATGAAGGCGTACCAGGAACTAGGTACAGACCGGAACTCATAGGTGTTCTCACTGCAGGGGGCTTGAAATAGTACTATCATGGACACCAAAACCACCGACCACATAAGACTGACCCTACACTGCAGCCACCGTCATGACTCAGGCAGGTCGAGTGGGTCTACATCCTGAAGCTAAGACCCGCGTGACTGAGAATGTCCTCAGACAAGCCCACCAGGCTTCAGTGTGATTAGGAGAATCAGTGTCAGGCCTTCTGCCCCAGACACTGACCTGCCACCACCAGCACCATCCATCACTGACATCACCACTGACATCACTGACACAAACTCCTGTAGGTCAACACGAGGCTGAATGTCAGGCTGCAGCAACGGAGCATGGCATGAGCGTGATCAATACAGTGACACACGCGCGCACACACACACGCTTAGAAGGAATATTCAAGTTACAACAGGATGAAATAAATACCTGCAAAATGTCCTCACAAGGACAGTGTTTCACATTTAAAAAGGCCCCACAAATACAGCTGTACCAGAAACACACTTTCAAACACAGTGGGGTTTTTTTTTTACATTTTGCAAAAATATAATTATTTGTCCAGCTTCTTAGCTTATGCCAACCTTAACTTCTAATACAAATCCTAACTCCAAAGTAAATCTTGAATCTCTAAAATATTCACAAACCCAGTGGAGACTTAAGACATGTCCCCCAAAAGGGAAATGAAAAAAGCTGAACCAGAACCACAGAAAATCAGTGGTTTAATCTGGACGCAGGTGACTGTTCAGAAAACCGAGAGCGGCTCCAACCTGGAAGAAAAGGGATGATCCTCTTTTTGGGGTCTTTCTGCCCTCCCTCAATGGGGAACTTGTCGAGTATCTGCATCTGAAAAACATACACAGAAAAAACATTTTAGGAAAATGATTATCAATATAAGGGTCATGTCATGTGTTATCGTGTAGACCAGGGGTGTCAAATATACTGCCCGTGGGCCAAAACCAGCCCGAGTGTTCAATCCGGTCCAATTCATTTTGAAAATAAAAAAAACTTTAGTTCAGGATATTTTCTGTAAAATTATCATTCATTAAATAAAATTAATAATAAATATCTAATATACCTGAACTTCCTTGGATGGACAAAGGGGAAAATTGACTTATTGTCATTTATAGTTAATTAGATTAAGATTGTACTGGTCCGTCCCACTTTTACTTGGGTTGTATGCGGACCATGAACCAAAATGAATTTGACGGTGGAGCTGAGAGTTAAACTGTTTGTTTAAGACATATGAAAAATTTAAATGAGTATAAATATATGTACATATACATAAAAAATATATACTTAAGTGTGTACATGTATGGGTTGCTGGTTTGAATCCCTGCCTGGGCAGAACCATTAGGTAAGAAAAAAAATTGCTGCTAAAAACAACAAAAGTCATTTGTGGCCATTACAAGTGAACAAACAGCACATTGGGGGGTGACAGCCACACTGACACACCAGCAGCGTGTGTCCCATTAAAAGAAATGGAATGATGTCATTCACGTCTGTGGAGCGTCAGGACGGTGGGGAGCACGCCTTTGGTCTGTGGAGCGTCAGGACGGTGGGGAGTAAGGACACTGTAGGTTTCACTGGAGTCAAACAACATCCTATTTATTCACAAAGCACGACGCAGCAAAGGAAACAAGGTGAAAGAGGAAGTGCTGACACAAGAGGTGGAGGTGCAGGAGGAGGGGGCTGGAGGAGCAGGGAGATATAGGGGAGGAGGGGGAGGGAGAGAGAGAAACAGATAAAGGAAGGAAAGTCCAAAATGGGAGAGAGGGTGAGATTGAGTGATATAAAAAAAATGAGAAAGAAGATGGAGAGAAATGCAAAAGAAGGCAAGAGCTGTAGGTGTGTGTGTGCGCGCGTGTGTGTGTGTTTGTCTCAACTGTGCACACTGACTTCCGACCAGGATTAAGTGAGAAAGTAGAAGCAGAGCAGGGATGCAGACTTGCACTACTGTATTGTGCAGCACTGCAGGAAACTGTTCCCCACAGTAATCAGAGACGGAGGAGGAGGTGGCAGGAGTGTAGGAGTTGAGGGGTGTGCACGTGCACGCTATGCTGGCGCACGTAAGGAGCCAAAGGTCCAGGAAGGAATTAAAAACCAAAACAGAGAGGAGAGCAGAGACAACAGTGGTGTCTACATTTGATGCCCACGGTTTGGAGGGGACCCTAGGGTAACTAGAACTCTCTCTCTCTCTCTCTCTCTCTCACACACACACACACACACACACACACCACTTGACGTATCTGTTGCCAGATCCAATCCCCTCTGTCCATCTGTCAGTCTGCAGCCACCTTTTCATTCAACTGTATCTTTTGTCTTGGTTCTACTCTGCTGGAGATTTGAGATGAGGAAAAAGTGAGCGAGAAAGTGAGGGAGAGAAGGAAACAGAGAGACACAGACAAATAGAGGCGGGGTGGAGGTAGAGAGAGGGAGGGAGAGAGGTGACTTTCCAGTCCTTAAATCTATGACGACAGTAGCAGCAGATTGTTGAAGGATCTCAGACTTGAGGACAAACAGTTTCTATCTGTGGAGGAACCAGGATGTCGCCTCCCTGTGGTCAAAACCAGTTGCAGGACTTCCATTCAGACCTAGATTATAGGAGAAGTTGATTTAAAGTGATCTCGTTTTTCTCTACACTGACACTGAATTATTTAAAGATGAGAGAAAAAAAGGCAGCAAAAGGCAGAGGGGAGGGGCTGGCAGGTGGAGTTGATTTATGTCAAGTCCTTTCCTCAAACTTTTGGGTGTTGCTGAGAGGAACACAGCAGGATCTGAACCTACGTCTTCACTATGGATGGTGAAGAAGGGAGGGCTTCAGAAGAGCATCAAGGGAAAACAGTGGAGAGTCAGGAGTGACTTCTACTTCCCTCGGTTTCCCCCTGTGTTTTTTTTATCGGTTTTGTACAGCACTTCCTTCCTTCCTCCCATCATTTCCCCTTTCTCTCTTCCCTCCTTTCTAACGTCATACCCACCACTCTGTGTAGCTTCTTCCCTGCTTTCCTTCATTTTACCTTCCTCTTTCCATCCTTCCCTTCTTTCTACCTTTCTCTAACTTTCATGATTCCTCCCATTGTTCCTCCCTACTGTTTTCCCTTCATTTTTGCCTTTCTTTTTTCTTTTTTCCCCTTCCCTTTTTTATCCTTTTCCATGCCTTTTGTCCTTCCCCACCATTCCCCCACCTCCCTCCTTCCTTTCTTCCTCACTTCATACCCACAGTTCTTCCTCCCTTCTATCTTTAATTTCTGTGAAGCTTCCTCCCTCCCTTCCTTCTTCCATTTAACCTTTTTTTTCTCTTTCCCACCTTTCTTTTCCTTCATTCTTCCCTCCTTTTACCCTTTCCTTCTTTCCATCCTGCCCTCCTACCTAGCCTTCCTTTTTATCTTCCTTTTGCTCATTCCTTTAATGCTCCCACCCTCTCTTCCTTCCTTTTTTCCTCCCTCCCTTCCTTCCTTCCTCCCTCCCTCCCACACCTCCTTTCCTCAGCTACGGTACAGTTAGGACACAGGCGTCGGAGCAGGTGGTAACGCTCCATCCACAGGACGTCAGATGAAAAGAAAATAATTTTTGGCTGGAAAAAAAAGAGAGAAGAAAAAAAACACTCATTCTCAACATTCTCTAAACCGTTGCTCCACTTCCCAGACTTCACTTCACTGTCTCCTTGGTAACCAGCAGAGAGAGGGTGTCAAGAAGAGTTGTGAAGCAACCTGATTGGATGACGCTCTGCAGCACTGGACCACTGGAGTGAATGTTGGGAGTAGGGTAATAAAAAAGAGAGCGGAAGAAGATGAGGTTTCTTTTATCTGCTGTCAGTGAGTGAGTACCGATTACTGTGACGCACCTCCGCTCTGTCGCTCAGACTTTGTCTTTGCGCAAAGCTTTGACACGTATTCCTGAGAGAGAACCATGTTTTATCTCTGCTTTAGGTTTAATTGATTTACAACAGCGGTTTAGAGATTTTTTTTTTTTTTAAACTTCTTTCAAAATATACTCTGCTGTGGAGTTTCCTCAGACAGAACTGCAGCAGTAGACGAACCCAGGAGGGATAAAAAAAAAAAATTAACACAGCACCGGGGCTGGTGCCAGGACCAAGGGACAGTACCAGAACCTGTGTGCAAGTACAACCTTCCACCACTGGCACCGAAACCACTGAACAGGAACAGTAAAGGGAGCCTTATGCATGAACACTGCAAAAACTAGCACCAGACACTGGATAAAAGTACCAGAATGTTTGCGTGTTTTTATTGTACTTACTAGTACTGGCACAGTAAAACCAATATGCATAGTTCGAAAGGAGCTGGTACTGATAAGGCGGGAGAGTTACACAAACTGGGTTTCCCCGTAGCACTACAACAACTGGTTCTGGAAAGAAGTGATAGTTCCAGTGACCTGTTTCTCAGTGGACCAACCACAGAACTTTATGTTTGTCCACAGCTAAACTATTTGGTGTAAAGAGCTGAAAGATACATTTTTATGCACACAGGTTCAATGTTTTAGTTCTTTCAATGATTAGAAGAACAACAACAACAACAAACAAACAAACAATATTCATCCAACGTGAAACAGGACCACCTGGTGGCGCTTCATGGCCCTTGGCAGATAGTGAGTCTGTGGTGATCCACTGACCAACAACCTAGAGTTCTCAGGCTGCCGACTGTCAGTTACCACTGGTCTAGTGCCTGATCGAGGACACCAGTGGCAGTTTAGACAATTTTTAGACAATTTAAATGAGTTGAAATAGCGCTAAGTTACTTTTGGCTAAACTGCAGCAGATTAATTATTTTATTTGTAAAATAAAAGTGTAAAAATATCCAAACGCAGCGTTTACTCCATCACTGTTGCCGGAGATGAGTTGTGTGTACAGAACAGGCAGGGTGAATCTGGGGACTGATAAAAAAGTCAGGCCGTATATTTCCTAATAAACAGACACTTGTACTTGAGTTACAGATATATAGATGTACTTTCTTGATCCCAGGCTGGGAAATTAAAATAATTATTAGTTCCTCTGGTTTCCTAATTCCTCCCACTCCGGTGCTAACCAGATTGTATTTATAAAATATTATTTCTGTTAAATACTACGGTTATGACTGTATTATCGCAAATTTTCCACAGATACAATTCAAATCCTGCAGCCACATCAAAATATTCCTTGGTCTTAAAAAAGTTCTAAATGTGTGGCACAGTTCCAACAGCCGCCCCTTCTTCATATCAGGCACCCACTCTAAGAATAGAGGCTCCATATATGGAGCTCCACAAGTCGGTTGGCATCAACTTTGGGAACGCCAAACTGTTTATTGAGCGGGGAACTGATGCCCCGCTTCCTGTGAGTGGTCATGTGACCACGGGAGACTTCAGAGCGGCCCTACGGACCAGTCTGGACGTCAACATGTGTACGTTGACCCTCTGGAGTAGCTCGTGACCAGGGTGAGCAGATGGTCATGTGACCACAGCACCATGCAGAAATGGTGACAGTGAGTTAAACAGTGGACTCAGCAGCCTGCTCACACACACACACACACACACACAGTCCAGAGATAAGACTGACGCGTATCTCTCTGTACACATGTAGACGTGTTGACTTTCTTTGCCTCCTTTCCCTTCCTGGGAAAAGTGGGAAAACAACACACCGTTGTTTGAGAACCAGTCCATCTGGTGTCCAACCTAAACTTTACTTTCTGCGTCAGCTCAGCTGCTCATAACAGCAGGAGAGAAGCTAATGGCGCAGATGAATCGAGTCCGAACATGCGGGCCGACTTCAGTTTCAGCGACAGATGCCCGAGATGAGCTTGAGGAGTAGGAGTGTGGGGGTGGGGTGTGTTCCCTTAACGGCCACAATCACTCAC